ATAAGAGAGGGCATAAGAGAGCAGCAGTGATTGAACAGTATTGTACTTGATGTTATTTTCTTTCTCTCTTTCTCTCCTTCCTTCCTTCCTTCCTCCCTTCCTTCCTTCCTCTTTCCTTCCTTCCTTCCTTCCTCTTTCCTTCCTTCCTTCATTCCTTCCTTCCTTTCTTTCTTTTTCTTTCTTTTTTGAGACAGAGTCTCGCCTTGTGGCCCAGGCTGGAGTGCAATGGTGTGATCTCGGCTCACTGCAGCCTCAGCCTCCCAAGTAGCTGGAATTACAGGCGCCTGCCACTATGCCTGGCTAACTTTTGTATTTTTAGTAGAAATAGGGTTTCACCATGTTGGCCAGGCAGGTCTTGAACTCCTGACCTCGGATGATCAGCCTGTCTTGGCCTCCCAAAATGCTGGGATTACAGTCATGCGCCACTGCGCCTGGCCTGTTCTATAATCTTAATGAAGCCTCACCATACACCCGCACAATACATTGATTTTTATTTTATAGATCAAGTAGCTGAGACTTAGGTAATTCCAATGTCAATATGGCTAATCAGCAAGTGACATGACTTTGACTCCATGTCTATCTGGCTCTGGTCTACCCACCTTCCACTCCACTGCACTGCATTGCATAAGCATTAGGAAGCCTACTGAAGTTTTCTAAGTTGGTGTACTTAACAGCTGCTGTCTAACTTTGCCAGAAAGGACAGTCCCACTCTGTGCCTTCCACTTCAGATGCAACTGTGCTGTAGACTGTGTAAGAACTTTTTTTTTCCCACAAGACACATGGCCATCTGAAGTTTTACTCTTAAACCTGTAAAATACAGGAACTATAATCTTTCACTTTTCTTGTGTGTATACGGCAAGAGCCTGAGGGAGGGGGTTCCCAGTCCCAGCCTAGAAGGATGTGTATTTTTTTCTTAACTTTTATTTTAGGTTCAGGGGTAGATTTGCAGGTTTATTATATAGGTAAACTTGTGTAATGGGGATTTGTTGTATAGATTATTTTGTCACCCAGGTACTAAGCTTAGTACCCAATGGTTATATTTCTTTGATTTTCTCTCTCCTCCCACCCGACACCCTCAAGTAGGACCCAGTGTCTGTTGCTCCCCTCTGCGTCCAAGTATTCTCATCATTTGCCTCCTACTTGTAAATGAGACTATGGGGTATTTGATTTTCTGTTCCTGCCTTAGTTTGCTAAAGATAGTGGCCTCTAGCTCCACCCATGTTTCTAGGACATGCATTTTTTTTTTGAAGCTCTTTGGAATTCCAACTCTCACTGGAAACTTTAATAAAAAATCAATTTAGCCCTGCATGACAACAGAGGACTACTTAACTCTTACCTATGCCAACATTAAACCTAAATGTATTGAGCCCTATAATACCTTACATTTGTTTCCTTTTATTTAACCTCTTAGGGGGAACGTCATCCAGACAGAAAGGCTTCCTAGGATGCATTCGCTCCTTACACTTGAATGGACAGAAACTGGACCTGGAAGAGAGGGCAAAGGTCACATCTGGAGTCAGGCCAGGCTGCCCGGGTCACTGCAGCAGCTACGGCAGCATCTGCCACAACGGGGGCAAGTGTGTGGAGAAGCACAATGGCTACCTATGCGATTGCACCAACTCACCTTATGAAGGGCCCTTTTGCAAAAAAGGTACCTTAGGCGCTCCCTTTCTCCTGAGTGCAGTGCTATATCACCTACATGCTATGATCAGGCCATGTGATACTCACACTCTGAGACAGTCTCTATCATCTACTCTCCCTCTGTTTGAAGAGTCTGCATAGTTCCTCAACATAATTGCGTATACTTGTTGATATTGCGTGTGTTCACTGGCAATGCAACTGAACTGGATGGATAATTACAGGAAAACACCCTGCCCGTGGCCAAAAAGCCGGTTGAGCAGGGAGAGAGGTGGACTCATATTTCTGTTGTTAGCTAGATTGTTAGTGAACACATTAATATGTCCACTTCCAATCCCTCTGTCTGCAAATGTAATCAAAGGATTGTAGAATCTAGCCCTGGGGGAGCCTTAGAGATACTTAAGCCATCTTAAATTATTTTTACAACAAAGAGAGTATCAGTAAATTAGTAAACACAGCACCATGTATTTGGTGAAATCTCTCTATTCTGCAGGTGATTTGAGCGAATGTCTGAGGCTTTAAAAGCCCTGTCTGAAGGCTCATATTCAGTTCATTGGTGGGCTGGGACTGAAACACACATGAAAGTCAACATTTCTGCTCCAGGGCTTTTTGTGTACCCCTTCACAATCTCATGAATTCATTACATTGACAC